AAGTAGCCTTGATCAGTTCAATACAGTATTCAGAATCAGTACAGTGCAACAAAGTCTTCTCAGTGAGAATGTACATTTACAGTACTTAATAGGAATACAGACTTAAGAATTCCATTTTCTCGCTTCAATAGACTGGCTTATTCATAAACAAGTCTTAGACCAATCTGTTTTTCTCAGCTCCCTCATTATATTTAAAATTCAAGTGATTGACTCATTTTTAGTTTTTTTTAAAAACCAGAAATTACAAGTTATGTTAAAGCAATCATTTGGAGGTTATAGCTCCAAACTAAAAGATTTCTGATACCTCTTCCAATGCTCAGTCTTTAGGAACACATTTCATACATGCATACAAAGTAATTCTGACACACCACACTGTATTAGCAATGGGCATCTTAAGACATGGGAACACCACCTAAGACAGTACATTTTCTTGAAAATGATGGCACATTAATGTGTGCCACCTGAAGTATACTACCATTAAAAGTTTAGTTAACTGAGCAAATACAGAAACCAGCTTCCGAATGTATAATAATCACCTTAACATTAATGACAGTGATTAATACTTATGTTACAGACTGATCAGTCTGCAAAATAATTAAAGGCAGTGTTTATTTGACAATTAAAATCCTGTACCAAAGGATACTTCTGAATAACTTCAAAGAAGTTATCACCTTAAACAAAAGAAGTTACCTTCCATGTAATTTCCATGCTTTAACATGTGATTGACTCCGCAAATCTTTTTTGAAAATTACTTTGGGAGTCATACTTTATCCTATGCTGCTTCTTTTTTTCTCCCTTCCTTCTTCTGTTCCCCTCAATATGTAACGTTATGGATGAAAACTCAGAAATTCTAGGTAAAAAGTATAATTCTGCTTCACAGAATCAAGACTTACACTGTATAGCAAAAACAAGGTAAAAATGAAGAACTGAAATTTTCCCAAAAAATTACAAGTTAGGATTTTCAACAAAATTTCTTTAAAAAATATTTTATCTCTACTAGAAACACCAAAACATTCACATTTACTTTTCTTTCCAAAGTGCATGCTTAGTGTACTTTCTAACCGTGTGCATGAAAAAATTTCTATGCATGAACCGTGTGCATGAAAAAAGCCAAAGATATTTAAATGATTTCTTCATGTGTCTTGGCTGATTCAGTGGCCAAGAAAACAAGGTTTGGTGTTTAAGTCTCTAATTAGATGGAGTCAAGAAACTAAACAGATAAAATTTCTGAGGCTTAAGCCAATATGACCCAGCAAAAATTTGTCATGTCGGCTATAAAGACCTCCTTCTCCCAAAGTGGGGAAGAAAGCATTGCTTAAAGATACAAAACTCCAGTAAACTTCTAACAGCTCAGCTGACCTAGGAATGGAGTGAGCCATCTGTAAAGCCTGGAGTGGTCCAAATAATACAGATCATTTCAGTAACACCTGGAAAAAGATGCTGACCCCAAATGAGGCAGAATACCCAATCTTCAGTGTCAAGGAAGGAAACAAAGTCCAAACTTCTAAAACACGTAATGGCAAGTCCAGGAACGTGGCCGGATATAATCCAGAAATGTGGGCTTCAAGGGAAAGAAAGAACGGAAGAGTCATTTATTTGTGTGCACTGTGTTTATGAGGTGTGGGCGTAAGCAGGGGGTATTAGTGTTACATGCTATTATACATCTTTAAAATACCTCCCACATTCAGTAAGTAAACTTTTAGCTATTAAGTAGATCACGAATTCAAAAGATGTTCATTATTTTTGTATATAGCACAAGTTGATTTGACTTAGAAGCTTTACATGAAGCTTTTAAAGTCCAGCAAATTCTACACAACTGCATGGACTGATGACCAAATTCCAAAAAGGCACTGCCCTCTTCTTTGTATCTTGAATTTTATTTTAGCACAGCCCCAATTTTAGTAGCCTAAAATCTAAACAGTGGTAGGTTAAGGATGGTAAATATATATACCAACTACGATAAAAACAAGATTTAAAATTACTGAGTTATCTAAATGAGAAACACATAAAGTACTACAAAAAGAGACTGGAGCAAGTATTTGAAGAAGCTTCAGAGAAGATACTGCATCCAAATTGGCTTTTGATTAAAACAAAATCTGACAAGTGGAATCTGGGTATAAGGAGAAACATGACCAGAGACAGAGTTCAGAAAGGTCAGTTCAAATGCAGAAAACAGGATTAATAATGACATGAGGAGGGGGTGTTAGGGCAGCATAACAGACACAGGGACACAGGGTAGACAGTAAAGGAAGCTTTGGGAGAAAACCTAATTAATTTGATTATGGGCATCTCACAGGTGTAGGTGCCTGTGAGAACCACCAAGGCAAATGTATCAGGATATATTCTACACCCCCTAAATATCTGGGAATTATTCATATGCAGTTAAAAGCCAAAGCTCTAAGAAAGACACTCTTATCTAATTACAAAAAAGAAAAGAGTACAGATCTTTTCGTACAGATCTGTACAAAAGAACAAAAAGAATCAAGGGAAATAGGATCCCAGGCATATGAGTATAGCTGGACATTTTTACAAAGAGTTTATTATTTGGGGAGAGAAGAGGTAAAAGATACATCTGTTAAGGTGGTGGCAGCAGAGGATGCACATGCCATTGGGAAAATTCTGGAGAACACTTACATTTTCAGGACACAGGAGGAAACTAGCAGGAGCTAAAGAAGAACCAATGAAAGAGAAAAAGAAGAAAACCAGGAGCAAGGCAAGTTCAGGATGAGGAAAATCAAAGAAAAGTTTCAAGGGTAGTGGAGTAAGATCAGATAATAAATGAAAGCATTTACTCCATATGTCCCTCCCCTTAACACTGAATTCATCATAACCTCCACTACTCCCCTTCCCTTTAATACTGGCCAGTCCAACCCTCACAATCAGGAGACAGGGAAGTTACTTGTCCACCCCAGCCTGAAGGATGACTCACATTTTTCAGAGGACAGTGTTGACGTGCATACCACTCTTGAGAATAAAAGCACAGGAGGACACCATTGCCCGCAAAGAGAGAAGTCCACATGAGAACATTCCAAATTGGCCTTTTCCGACTATCATTGACAATGAAATTGAAAGCCACTGAAGTTAGGAAGAGAACAAAAACACATGTAGTTATCAAAACAGAATCCATCAGGAGCTGGGGGGCATCAGACATCTGTTGTAATCATTTAATTATCACAATGAGCACCAACTGTGTATGAACATGTTTTATTCTAGCTATTGGTCCTATAAACAAAAATGATGCTTCAGTGTTGAAACTTATTAGTCAACGATTAACTGGAAGTCAGAAAGTATTCAGGACAGGTGAAAATATACTTCCATAGGACTCATTAATATTCTAACTTGTTCCTCTCCACCCACCCAGAAAAGGGTTGTTTTTTTTCAGGGGGTGAACACTGACAGAGTTTCACTATAACGAAGTTTATACTTATTATCACCTACCAAACAAGTGTTATCAACAGTCTCTAAGAGGTCCCTACTTCAAAGTGCAAGCATCCTGAGACTGATGGTAAAAACAAAATCAATGTTCTTACCATCTCGATAAACCAGCTCTGCCTTGAAATGTTGTACTACTTAGTGTCAAGCTTTCTACATTGATTTTATACTTTACTTTCCGAAATTTCTCTTTTAGCACAATACTCAGTACTCACGGCATGCCAAGTTACTTACTTCCAAAGAACATGAAAAGCACGAAGAGCACTGGGTAGAAAAAGTTCAAGCAAACAGCCAAGGCATATTCGTGCACTACAGCCGACACAGCAAAGACAGCTAACATGGCAGCTGATCTGAATTTCTTAGTGAAAAACTCGGGTCAAAGGAAAATATTAAAAATTAATTTTAATAAAGTAAGTAAGCATTAACTATGTAAGACATAATTATCACATGCTAAAGGCACCTACTTACATTTGATTTTCCAATCTACTCCTTGGATAACTCCAATTTTATTAAAATAATTACCAAAAACACTATGCTTAAAAATCTTTACTAAAATGAGGCATTTTTCAAAACCATAAATGTTAAAAGATCTGGGCATATTTTCAGAAGCATTTATTAACATTTGTAAGTCACTATCACCACCACCCATCCCACATAACCAAAGCAAAATTCCCGAATATTTCCAAAGAACATAAACACATAACACAAGACTCAGAGTGTGTTATGATGAATTGTTAGTCCATACACTGATACCAGAAAAATCTTAAAAGGCATTTTGGTTATTAGTGTTCAGTATAATATTAATTCTAGTTCTATACAGGATTAAGTCCCTAGGTTCACTTTTTCTCAATATCAAACAAGGTGTAATGGAACAACAGAATAGTTTTCATATATAGACAGACACATCAAATATCAACCACTAAAGATGGAGAGGGCAGGCATCCCCTCCATTTTTACAGGTAACAAAACTAAAATTTAGAAAGAAGGCACTTGGCCTCATCCAGAAATGAAAACTATACTTTCAATGAAAGAACACTCACATAGAGCAGTATTTGCACCACCACATGCTACCACTTAGCCAAATAGTGTCCTTATTTATTCTGCACCCAGAGATACCAGCATTAATCAACCATGAAATTCAAAATTACATTTCATCAGCCTGAATACACTCTGCTCTAAAGAATGTCAATTGGAGAGATATAAATCCAAACAAGTGTTTCTCCACTTTTAAAAAACAAAAATAAATTAAAAAGGCTCCAGAGAGATTATATGTTTTTTAATGAGGTTGGTAAGAAATGACCCATTTCTGGTGGATCATTTCGACTTCTCCAAATGCCTCCATGCATTCTTTCTTTGTAATCATGTCAATAAAATGCAGAGCCCAAAACATGGTCTTAGACCTAGGGACTATTCATACTGGTCTCTAAGTAGTACCACTCACAGCAAGGTTTTAAGACATAAATGACTCACAGGAGAATAGAAGACAACTAACTAATTTCTTTTAGTTGCACAATACTAATAGTTCCTGGTAAAGAGTCTCCATTTCTTAAACAACATCAACTAAATCTAGCTGCTTACCCAGAGAAAGTCCTTGTAAGCATAGTAATATAGCCAGTCGTGGACCACCACATTCCAGGTCCGGTAATAGTTAGAGTATGATGTGGAGTTCCACCAATCCTAAGGAAAACGGTAAAGGTATAAAACTAACCACCACCACCACCCATCCCACATAACCAAAGCAAAATTCCCGAATATTTCCAAAGAACATAAACACATAACACAAGACTCAGAGTGTGTTATGATGAATTGTTAGTCCATACACTGATACCAGAAAAATCTTAAAAGGCATTTTGGTTATTAGTGTTCAGTATAATATTAATTCTAGTTCTATACAGGATTAAGTCCCTAGGTTCACTTTTTTCTCAATATCAAACAAGGTGTAATGGAACATACAGAACATGTAGATAATTAAATCTAATGTTCATCTAAATAGCAATCAATAAATCACCTTTGCCTTGCTAAGCAATGACAGATTATTCCCACAAATGGAAAAATTTAAGTTGTACAAGGAGTGAAATAGTGGCTACCTTCAAATCCTGGTGCTCCTTTATATACATTTTGCTCCCTAATTTAAGATCAGACAAATGGAATCAGACATCTAAAATATACAACTCATACTATTTCTTTCAGAAAGGAGTGGTAGGCTTGGAGTGTTCCCAAAACAACAAACAATACTCTAGAGGGCTACAGGTAGGATTACAGAACACCATGAACTACTCTGGCTCTAGTCTAGAGCTTAATGCCAACTTTAGAAGTGTAAGAACATTATTATAAGCATAAATGATGCCATTTGAAATGGAGGGAAATGTTATTTCCTTCATGAACTCTTCAATAATCTTAAAAGGAATAGTTTGCTGAGGTAAGTCCTATAGTATCAGAAAGACAATTTCATACGCATCATCAGCGAAGTCTCATTACACCCTCTGGACACATGGTTTCCCTACTGAAATCACCAATACTAGAGATCCAGTAGAAACCATCTGTTTTAAGGGAACAGGTTTTAGAAGTAAAAGAAAAAATAAGACTATTCTAATTAAATCAGTATCACAATTTCAGACTCAGTAATAGTAAAACTTATGGGAAAAAAATTATTTCACAAGATTTATGTTAAAAATCTAATAGCCAAAAACACTGAAATATTTAACAATGAGGACAATCAAATGTGAAAAGAAAGTTGAGTCCTAGTATATATTACCTTATAAAACATCCTGTCACCAAAGCGTAACATCTCAGCAAAGGCATTGAGCCAGCAATGCAAAAGGGCAAAAAACATAAGGAACAAAATCAGCACACCTAAAAATAAAATTAACAATATTAAGAGTCTTTCCAAATAGCACACATAACAAGCAGTAAATTACACATAATCATTTGCTTTGCTGGAATTATTTTGCAAAATAGAAGTTATTATTCCAGTATAACCAGTCCAGAGATGATAAAGTGTTCTTTTGAAAATTAGTTATTTTTATTTTATAAAGCAGTAACTTCTTTCTAAATAAGTTTTACATATGAAAATAGCCCAGCCTGTTTTTAATAGACATGCCTGGATACATGGCTTGATTTACTATCCAAGGCCCTTTAAAATCTGGCCCTCATGAAGTTTATACTCACAGAGACCTACCTCAAGAAACAAGGAAAACCTCAAACAGGCTAACCTTATACCAAAAGGAATTAGAAAAAGAACAACACGAAGGCCAAAGTTAGCACAAAGAAAGGAGTAAAGATCAGAGCAAGAATAACTGAAACAGAGACCTAAAAAAAGAAAAGATCAATGAAAGTAAGAGCTGGCTCCTTGAATCTCTGAATAAAATTGATAAACCTTTAGCCAGACTCATCAGGAAAAAAAGAGACTTAAATAAAAACACAAATGAAAGAGAAGTTATAGCTGGTACTACAAAAATAAATAAGATTATTAGAGACTACAAAATTTATATGACAACAAAGTAGACAACTTAGAAAAAAATGGATAAATTGTTGAAATATAAAACCTTTGAAGAATGAATCAGAAGAAATAAAAAATTTTAAATAGATTACTAGTATTGAAACTGAATCAGTAACAGAAAAACTCTCAAAAAACAGAAGTCCAGGACCAGAGAGCTTCAGAGCTGAATTCCACTGAATATTTAGAAGAGGAAGGAATGCTTTCCAACTCATTCTATAAGGTCAGCACTGCCCTGATACCAAAATGACAAAGGCACGACAAAAACAGAGTACAGGCCAATATCCCTGATGAACATAGATGCAAAAATACTCAACAAAATATGAGCAAACCAAATTAAAAATTGCATTCCATCATTCACCAAGATCAAGTGGGATTTAGTCCAGAAATGCAACAATGGTTCAATATACACAAATCAATCAACATGATACACCACATTAACAAAATAAAGGATAAAAATTCTATGATCATCTCAACACATGTAGAAAAAGCATTTGACACAATTCAACATTTACTCATGATCAAAACTCTCAACAAAGTGGGTAAAGAGGGACCATAACTCAACATAACATAATAAAGGCCATATATGAAAAACCCACAGCTAACATCATGCTCAATGGTAAAAAGCTGAAAGCTTTTACTTTAAGATTAGGAACAATACCAAAAAAAAAACCCACTGAAAAACAGGCAATGGACTTAAATAGACATTTTTACAAAAGATACAAATGGCCAACAGACACGTGACAAGATGCTCAACATCAATAATCAGGAAAATGCAAATCAAAGAGTACAATGAGATCCCACCAACATGGATGGCTACTGTCAAAAAGACAGGAAAAAAACAACTGATGGCAACAATGTCAAGAAAAGGATAGCCTTGTGCACTATTGGTGGGAATGTAAATTGGTGCAGCCACTACAGAAGACAGTATAGAGGTACCTCAAAAAAAGTAAGAGTAGAAAATTAACGTACAATACAATAATTTCACTTTTGGATATTTACCCAAAGAAAACAAAATCAGTAATTCGAAAAGATAAATGCACCCCTCTGATTATACAACATTATGCCAAGATAAGGAAGGAACTTAAGTGTCCATCAGTAGATGAGTGGATAAAGGTGTGATGCATATAATCAATGGAGTATTACTCAGCCATAAAAAAAGAATGAACTCCCACTTCTATTCAACATGGTACTGGAGGTCCTAGCCAAGGCAATCAGACAACACAAATAAGCAAAAAGCATCCAGATTGGTAAGGAAGAAGTTAAACTGCCACTGTTTGCAGGTGACATGATATTGAAAAACCATAAAGAATCTACCCCAAAACTACTAGAACGAAATAAATGAATTCAGCAAAGTAGCAAGATACAAAATTAATACATAGAAATCTGTTGCATTCCTATATACTAGTGATGGACTTACACAAAGAAAAATTAGGAAAACAATTACATTTACAATGGCATCAAAAATAAAATACCTAGGAATAAACCTAATCAAAGAGGTGAAAGACCTATACCCTGAAAACTATAAGACACTCGTGAGAAAAATTAAAGAAGACATTAATAAATGGAAATACATCCCATGCTCATGGATAGGAAGAATAAATATTGTTAAAATGGTCATCCTGCCTAAAGCAATATACAGATTCAATGCAATCCCTATCAAAATACTGATGGCATTTTTCAATGAACTATAACAAATATTTCTAAAATTCAAATGGAACCACAAAAGACCCTGAAGAGCCAAAGCAATCCTGAGAGGGAAGAATAAAAGCAGGGGGGATTACACTCTCTGATTTCAAGCTCTACTACAAAGCCACAGTAATCAAGACAATTTAGTACTGGCACAACAACAGACCCATAGATCAATGGAACAGAATAAAGAGCCCAGATACAAACCCAAGTATATATGGTCAATTCATATACAATAAAGGAGCCATGGACATACAATGGGGAAATGACAGCCTCTTCAACAGCTGGTGTTGGCAAAACTGAACAGCTACATGTAAGAAAGTGAAACTGGATCACTGTCTAACCCCATACATAAAACTAAACTCGAAATGGATCAAAGACCTGAATGCAAGGCATGAAACCATAAAACTCTTAGAAGAAAACACAGGCAAAAATCCCTTGAATATAAACATAAGTAACTTTTTCATGAACATATATCCTCAGTCAAGGGAAACAAAAGCAAAAATGAACAAATGGGACTATATCAAACTAAAAACTTCTTCTGTACAGCAAAGGGCACCATCAGCAGAACAAAAAGGCAACCTACACTATGGGAGAATATATTCATAAATGACATATCTGATAAGGGGTTAACATATATAAAAATATATAAAGAATTCACACACCTCAACACCTAAAAAGCAAATAATCTGATTAAAAAGTGGGCGGAGGAGCTGAACAGACACTTCTCCAAAGAAGAAATTCAGATGGCCAACAAGCACATGAAAAGATGCTCCACGTCACTAATCATCACGGAAAAAATGCAAATTAAAACCACAATGAGATATCACCTCACAATAGTTAGGATGCAACATCCAAAAGACAAGGAACAAAAAATGCTGGCGAGGATGTGGAAAAAGGAGAACTCTCCTACACTGTTGGTGGGAATGTAAATTAGTTCAACCATTGTGGAAAGCAGTATGGAAGCTTCTAAAAAAACAATGATAGAAATACCATTTGAGCCAGGAATTCCACTCCTAGGAATTTACCTGAGCAAAACAAGATCCCAGATTCAAAAAGACATATCCACCCCTATGTTTATCACAGCGCTATTTATAATAGCCAAGACATGGAAGCAACCTGTGTCCATCAGTAGATGAATGGATAAAGAAGTTGTGATACATACATACCATGGAATATTATTTAGCCATAAGAAAACAAATCCTACCATTTGCAACAGCATGGATGGAACTAGAGGGTATTGTGCTCAGTGAAATAAAACAGGTGGAGAAAGACAAGTACCAAATGATTTCACTCATGTGAAGTATAACAAAGCAAAACTGATGGAACAAAACAGCAGCAGACTTACAGACTAGTGGTTACCAAAGGGAAGAGATTGAGGGGTGGTTAGGAAGGAGAAGGAAGGGGATTAAAGGGCATTATGATTAACATACATAATGTAGAGGGGGCACAGGGAAGGCTGTATAGCACAGAGAAGACAAGAAGTGACTCTAGCATCTTCCTATGCTGATGGACAGACACTGCAATGGGGTGTTGGGGTGGACTTGTTAATGTGGGTTAATGTAGACCACAATGTTGCTCATGTGAAACCTTCATAAGATTATATATCAATAATACCTTAATAAAAGAATTTTTTTTTAAAGAGAATGAAATCTTGCCATTTGTGACAACATGGATGGACCTAGAATATATCATGCTTTGTAAGTAAAGTCAGTCCGAGATAAACAAAAATACCATTAAGATTTCACTTTTATCTGGAAACTAATGAAACTAACAAACTAACAAAAATATGGAAGCAGGTTTATAAATATAGGTTGGGGAGAGCAAAAGGGAAGGACAATGCAGGGATAGGTGAAGGGGATAATGGAGTACAAACTTCCAGTTATAAAGTCCAAGGGTTCGAAAGTATACCACGGGAAATATAGTCAATAGCATCGCAATAACTTTTTATGGTGACAGATGGTAACTATACTTATCATGGTAAACATTTCATAATGTAATTGTGGAACCACTATGTTGTACACCTAAAATTAATATAATATTCTATGTCAACTATATTTCAATTAAAAAAAATCTGGCCCTCATGCATTCCTCTAAACCAATTATTTAACACTGGGAGTCTGCCCCTAGGGGACATGCAGCAATCAGGGAGACTTTTCTAGTTGTCCTAACTCAAGAGTGGGGGTTGTGCTGCTGGTATCTCATTGTTAGAGGCCAGGATGCACAAGACATATGATTACCCAGCCCAAAATGTCAATAGCAACGAGGTTAAATTCTCTCTCACTCCATTTACTTTCAGTGTAAACATCATCCATAGCTGGACTCCCTCCATTCTAAACTAAACACTCTGTGCTTTACTTCCACCCCACTACCTGAAAGCACCTTTCCACTGCTTCTGTGCCAGGCAAATGCCTATTTTTAATACCCAATATTAAATGTCATCTCTAATATGATAGAAAGTTATTAGTACTTTTGTCTATCCTATTTAATGTGTAAACATTGCACTATATTGCCCACCTCTTTCATTCACTTGTTTATTCAAAAAAATATGGAGCACTTACTATGTATTAGATAATATGGGAGTGACTGTGATTAGCTAACTAGCTATAAGACACAATCCTTGATCTCAACAAATTTGCAGTGTAGTGTGGAAGATACACAAATATCTAACACATACCCCATCAAAGGGACAGATAGAAGAATTTAAGTAAATCTTGGAGAGCAATCAGGGAAGGTTACTATAAGTCTGGGAGAGGGGGAAGGGAAAAGAGAAGGTATCTGACAGGAAACTTTACCAACGCTTAATGAGTAAAAAAAGTAAAGAAAACTATAAACTTAATAAAGCTGCAAGCTTCTAGAGAGTACAGAGTATGTATGTCTTGTTCACTGCTATGTCCTCAGCACCTGCCACATAGTAGCTGTTCATATCTCTCTAGAAAAAAATAAGTAGAATGAATTAAGCTAGGAACTTGAGGTACAGTCAGCAAGATGGGAGAATAAGAGTGGCAAAAGAGATTTCAAAATGTGGTCAACAGCATCCTCTGCTTTGCGGAGATCAAACTTACTAAGGTCTAAACTATTTCCTGGATTTAAAATCAGGAGATGACTAATGATTTTAATAAAGCCCATTTCAGTGGCCTGGTTGGACTAGGCTCAAGAAAACAGTGAACTAAATAGTGGATAGAAAGATAAGCATAAATATGCACCATCTGGAGTCACAGAAAGCAAACTTGAGTGCAAGACAAATAAACTGGCCTAAGCCTGGAAGTACACTTCATTTATGAGATAGATAGAAAAAAAGTCAAAATGAGCATGGATGTATATACATGAGTAAATCAAAGGTACTCGGACAGAATGACATTCTATTTTCCTTGCAACTTTATGAATGGCCAAATAAACCAGTACCCATGTTACCTGGCAAGATGGAGTTAAATACACACAGGAACAGAACACGGGCGCTGAAGGGCTCCTGTTTGATATTACGAAACAAGGGGGCACAGAGCCTTTCAAAGACGTAGTACACATAAAAAAGGCAACCAAAAACCTGAAACATAACAACCATATAATTATAAAACGACAGCTTGGTAAGGGAAGATAGTTATTTTTTCCTTCAAAAGAAGATACATACAAATGACATATATATTCCATTTTACACTATATATAAGATTGTCAAATTCTAATCCTGCAGAGATATTACTCAAGCTTCATTTCTACCATACCTCTTACCAGTTCTTTACCAAATGGCATTTTTAAAAGAACACTCTTAGAACCCCTTTTTCTTGCTACATGAAATTCTTCTTAACAGAAGAACTTACTTCATAAATGGGTATTTGATTGAGATAGGAATTTTAAATCAGATCTTCTGGGATTTTTAAATTCTGATTAAGGGGCTGAGAAAGGCATGGGCAGTGTCAGATCTCCCTCACAGACATGTATGCCCCAAAATAAGAAACCAGGAGTGGAGGGAGAAAGTCATGTAGATTTTTACTTAAGCAACCAAATGGAATTACTTTAATTAAAATAAAGTCTTTTACTGGAGAAAATTACTCTTGATGTTGGCAAAACAAACACCATTCACTCTACTGGGAATAGTTTAAAAGGCTTCTGAGAGAGTTCTAGAGCTCCAGTAGATGTGAGTTTACCCTCACTTTAAAAAGATTAAATTATTATAGATAAGAATCCCCATCTCCCAATCAACAGATTAGTTCAAAAAAAAAACCCTTACCTGTGCAAACTGCATAGCAACATAACCCCACCTTACAGTGGGAGTCCTGAAAAGAAGGACACAAAGCAAGTTTTCTAAATAAAATGAAGAACTGACCTTTAACAAAGATTCTCACAATATCTTCCCAGATAGAACATCACTTTGGGGTATGAAATACAATTGAAGAATTATGGCAATCAAGCTGGATTGCTAGAATCAGCAGCTTGGGCTTCCCATGCCAGCGAGAAAATTAAAATTCATTTTATATTCTCTGTAGCCCTGCATGCACTGGTCCCTGTCTACCTACCCCACCTCACGTCACACTTCGGGTGCTCAGCACGTTTCTCTTGTGCAGTGCTGTTACCTGGGATAGTGGTCCCGGTAAATGAGGGTAGGCGCAAACAGGAAGTACAGGTACTGGTTGACGGTGGGTACTGGGGCAGTGCCTGGGAAAGGAAAACTTCGCTTAGGTCAGAGACTCTTCAACTGCTCTCAGCAAAACTAATAAGGGAATATAAGGAAGCACAGAACAGGGAAGAATCAATCTATCTCTTAGCTCACATCGTTTCCTCCTGCTCTCCCAAAATGATAACTTCTTATTCTTACCGTAACTGAATACTACCAATCCCTCTCAATTTAGTTATTCCTATGACTTTAGACATAACTCCTAAAGCTTGAAGTAGCAATTCTAAAGAGTCAGTACATACGGATGTAATGAGTCTATGAATATTCAATAAAAGTAATGCAAAATTACAGTGATTAATGATCAGTGTTTTTAAATTGCAGGTACAGTGGCAGAATAGGAACACCCAGGAATTAGGGAGATAGTCTTCCAAATCAATGTGGATCCTATATTTTTAAAATTAACCATAATGTCTACAGAATGTAATACGCCATCCCAGTAAACACCAAAGGTTGAAAAACCTTATGAATAATCCTTTGACCTAATGGAATTACATACTTGATTTCTCATTAGCTGATTTTAGTACCCGAGGCACATTCTCTCTGACAAATGAATGGGCCTTCATTATCAAACGAATCTACAAAAGGAGGGGGAAAAAAAGGATGAATTTTGTATCGTGCCTATGTCTTGTCTCCTACCAGCAACCCCAGAACAGCACTAGATTATAGTCGTATAAAGAATTTAATTTTGCATATACCAACTCAAGTTCACTTTTACAGAATAAAGCACATGAAAAGTAAATTCTAAAGAAGGATGTGTTATTCCTCAAATTATTTTGCACCCTACAGCCCTATTACAGGTATACTACAAATTTAGAAATTAAAGGCCTACTCAAAAAAAGACTCCCAAAATGGTTCCACCATCAAACAGCATTACAGCCAGCCAGTAAAAGTCAGAAATGTCTGAAGGGTGTACAAACCAAATATAAATCCCTTATTTAGATGGAGCTGGTTATATGGCAAAACAATGAATCTGAACTTCAAAAGTGGCATTTTGAATTATTTTGTAATAGAAATGTTTTAGAATTTATATATGACTTCTTCAAAAAGCATTAACAAAATTTGAATTCATCTACAACAGTTCAATATAATTTACTTCAATTATCAAGAATCAGAAAATGCCAACACCAGAACAAATTTCAAGGGGTGAGATTATCTAGTTTAACACGTTAATTTTATCCAACTAATACAATTAAAAATTAACAGATCTAGCAGTATTTTATTGTTATTATTATTACTAAACTAAGCATAGCATTGTATTGCACAACACTAAAAACCTTACCTGTTCCAGTATGACAATAAACCGGGAAGCTGGTGGCAGTGTATATGCTAATACAACATATGTTGGTCCAAAACCTAGAACTCCAATCTGGAAGACCATAAAAAGTAAGCAGTGGAAGAGAGAATAGATCACTGGATGAGTACTCTTGCTGTAGCCTCTGGCCCAATGTTGAAAGATAAAGTAGGGAATTGAAAGTGTACATAAGAACATGGCCCACCATGTCCACATAGCAACAGGAAATTTGCCAAAAGCATAAGATATGAGACTGAACTCAAGGACCAGCCTGAGGAGAAAAGCACAGAGAAAAAACACAGGAGTAAATTTTTAATATGCACTGTTCAAAATCTTCAGAACCAAAACTCTCTACCTTAGTAAACACAACATTCATACACTGAAGTAATGGATATAACAAGTTGTGCTAGACAGAGAACTGCTTCCAAGCCTTTGCTTTACAGTATATCTCAACAACAAATTTTCTAGAAGTCCTAACATCCGGTCTTTGGACATTAGATACCCAAGATAACCTAAAATAGTAAGACTTTATTAAAACTTCTCAAAGATTAGATTCTCAGTAAATAAAATTCAAATATTCTACAGCAAAGTTAATACTTAAAAGCATTCAGATAGCAACCACTATTATGTACAAAAGATGATTTCTCAGAAGGAAATAGACTTGATTTTAAAAATCTATTAATATATTATACCATTATCTCAAAATTTAATTCTAATAAAGCACATAATTCAACGTATAATTACCACAGTCACTTTTAAAGTTACAATTTAATTTTTGTATTAAAAAGAGATGCTTTCTTAAACATTAAATTCCAATAAGCTACTTATTAATAACCCTTAAATACATGTAGTAGAAATATCAATAAATCATACATATACAAAATTCTCCCATTTAGGTATATTACTTACAAACTACTAATGACAGACGATTTTAAAAGTAAATGTAATGAAATGTTCAATAGTCTGCTTAATTAATACTTTTCAGGAGAGAAATCTAACCCTCACATCAGCTGCTTTGAGATTTTCTGGGGCATATTTAACCAAATCATCCTTTACCAAAATGTAAATATAGCAAACACTCCCAACACCCCATGCATCAACTAGTCTAGCCTCCCTTTTCTTGTCTTACCTTCCTTCATCAATGTAATCTACTACAAGTGTGCTGAGGATAAAGAGAATGAGGAGGGCAATAAACATGTGATATATTGTCCTGATGTGGTCCACCTCAAACAGCTCACTGTAATTCAAACAAATACAATAATCTGTATTTAATTTTAAAACATAATATATTAAAAACTTTACTTTGAAGCAGTTCAGAAGATGCTTTAATCCACTCTCTAAAACAGTGACCATGGAATATTAAACCTGAAGTAGAGATAGTAAACAACATGACCAAGGTAAAAACTTAATGGAAAAGCTTAGGACAAGGCTCTTCCCAATAAAATAAAACTGCCTTCTAGAGAACAGCATGGTAATCCAACACTTAAAACAAATGGTGTACATTCTTGAAAACCTACCAGGAATGGCTGTTTTCTAGGCAGGCAAAAGCTCATTCACTGAAAACATGGAACACTGACACTCTTCCAAAGGGTAAAAAGTTTATTTTAAAGACCCAATTCTTATACTCCACCCCCTACACTTAACTAATATGTATTAGGTACTATCTATCTATCTATTTCCAAGATTAAGATCCCCATGCATGCATTTCTATGATGATGATAACCAAGTACTGTCTTACATATTTAAAAACTTAACCATTTACAAATGCTTTTTATTTTCTATCCTCATTGACCTTTTTTATTTAACTGGGCTAATTTTCTTATAAAGCACAGAAATGACTTCCTAGATGACTTTTTCTCAGTCAATTTTTTATTTTTGATTGAAACAAGTTTTTTAGCTCTGTTTTTATAAAGATGTATGCTCATCTAAGTAACATTTTTAGGAATCTAAAATACTATTAAATTTCCAGATTAAGGATCTTCAAATTCTAATAAAATCCCACACATAGAATGTGTTTCATTTCCTGTTTCTAATAACTGTTTTATTTTCTCTTTTATGTGAAAGGCTTGTATTTCACCCTAGATAAATATTTTAAAAGCCAAATCTAATTTCTTTTCCCCATAAAATCCATACAACCAGTGTTCTAAAACAAGTAAATCTGAGAAAACTATCAAATCTCTAATCTGGCTAGCCAGAGAAGAGAGGACAAAATTTAGATATCAAGAAGGCCACAACCTACACTCTCTCCATAGTTTTACCTAATGAGAAAACTTCCTTCTAGCTCTTGGGGTACCCAATTTTCTGCAGGACGACATCAAGGAACTTATCAGAGGCCAGATAACTATTCTGATCTCTAACTCTTTCTTTGAAATGAGATAAAGAACCCAAAGATCAGAAAGGAGGAGCAAGAGAGCAAGAGTACAAAAAAGTATCAAAATGAGAAATTTACAGGGATACGGAACAAACTTATTAAACATTCACTGATTAAGCAATGACTAACAAGCAGACTACTCCGATTTTTTAAAAACTCAAACTAATAACATAAGCAACTAAACATACTCACTCTAAGAGAGATCGCCTTGTAATAAAAATCTTTCCATGTTCTGGAGGTGCTCTCAGATCTCTGGTAAGAGCAAACAAGTAAACCAAGATGTAAGTATTTCTAGTGCTATAAGAAATCTAAACCTATGGATAAGAGGAAGAGTATTACCAATTACTGTATTTTAACATTCTCTAACTACTTTCTCAGGATTACCCAGGGACGGTGTTATGGGTTTTATTTGTTTATTTCATTTACTCCTGAACTAGGCAATGAGGCAAGGACTAGTGCGTATCCGGTTAGGAAAAATGTCATTTAGGCACACCAAACGAGAACAGCACTCAAAGGGGCTCCACAGCCCAGCCCCTATGGACATGCATTTCTGGCTTCACATGCTGACAACCACTCTTCCTTCTTGTAAACATCCCCCAAAGTCACGGACAGGCCTCCAGTCAAACCTGCAGGCCAGTTCACAGGCTATTATTGGTCAGCCCTCCAAAACTGCACCATGTTTATGATACCCTCCCAAATGCCAAAGGATTTCCAACAATCCCAGCAGCTCCCTGATCATAAAGATTGCTTCCAGGTACTAAAACCTCACTTTTTTTATTTTTTGCAAATTAAGTTTATTCTATAAAAATAAGACAAGCAATTCTGCATTATTCATTTTCTTTTTCACTCAGAGTACAGGTTTAGAATTAGAGTAGCAACAGGGTGATTGATAAATTCTGTCTAACTGGCTTTTTTCTTTTTTGTTTTTAAACCTCACATTTTAATATCTTGCATTATTATTTATTTTGGGGCTTTCTGCACTACCATTAGCACTTCTGTTAACTATTAAATAAAGGTCAAAACTGTCCTCCAGAACAGGAGACTGAAAGATGGCAAAGGCATAAACAGAAGCAAGCCCAGAATTGGCAGATGAGCACGTACTGGCCTTTGACAGCCTCCACTCTATTGCTCTGGATGACTGACCAATTCAAAGAACATATACTAAATGCACTGTACTTTATTACGAGTGTTGTATAGAATCCAATGGAGAGGCAATAGCACGATGTGGTAAAGAACATGGACCCTGGAGCCAGACTCTGGGTTCAAATCCCCACTGTGTAATCTGGGACAAAATCTAACTGCTCTGTGCTTCAGTTTCCTTATCTGTAATATGCTGGTAGTTACCGATCTACCTCACAGGGTCACTGTTTAGTTGAAACGTAGAGCCCCCAGCAAATGTGGCTGTATTACTGTATTAACCAGCAAGGTCGTAAATAAAATATGCACGCTTGTTAGAATCCATGTATTACAATGAAGAAACCCATACTGCAAGTGGTTAAATGATCTAAACGGTAATGAAAACTAATGCTAGGGTGCGGACCCAGGCATCTCAACCGCAGTCTAATCCCTGAGCTATGCTAGGGCACAGGGATTAGTTTGCATTAAAACAAACTAATACTTACAGGGTTCTATGGTTGTTCTCTCCTTCAAAAACAGAAAAGGTCGTGACAGCACACCCACCATTGTCTAATGATGCCGATTTTTCAATGAGATTGGTCACAAAATCATCAAAGTGACTGCCAACTTCCTTCATAAAAAATGGCTTCAATTCCTGGAATTTTAAAACAAGGGAAAAACATTAGGAACTGACACATGCTTATGGGTTATGAATTTCTAAAGGGTTCTCTTTAACAGAGATGGGTCAAAAGAAATCCATGTTAAGTTCACAGGAATAAAAACAGAACAATGATTTCTACAGCTGACCTGTAGTTTCAGAAATGACTACAGAAAAGGCAACATAATGGTAAATGTCACTCTAAAAATTTATACCCTTTTAAGTGTAAAGCAAGACATAGAAGTAATCACTCCTAAATGGGCTGCTACAAATGACATACAGAAACCACACAACAGAAATGAAAAAATGAAAGCCTTTTTTTCTCTTCCAATTTTTATCTGAAGAACAAAAAGTAAAAAATCAGTGTTGTATCACAACATACGATTTTAAGTCCTCTTTCTTCTCAAGCAAGCCAAGTACCACTGTATTTTAGATCATGTCATACAGCTGTGTTTATCCCGTCCTCCCACAGCTATATATTTATCACACACACACACACACACACACACACACACACACACTCTCTCTCTCTCTCTCTCTCTCTCTCATAACATAGAACTGTTAAAAAATTTGTTCCCATATGATTTTTAACATCTTAAAAATACATATGCACAGTTTCTGAAAAGTTGTAAAGTAAAAAAATATTTCTTCAGATTGTAATAGGCCACCTACTGTGTGGATGCTCAAATTATAAATATGGGTATTAGGCAGAAAGACAGCTATGAGCGGGATGAAAAGAGGGTGAGGCCCACCAAGAACTCAGGGAATTAATCAGATAAAGCCAGAGAGCCAGAAAGGTACCTTGACATTGTGAGTTCATTCCACATGCTCTGAATCTAGACTGACCTTGAGACTTGCCGTAGCAGGTGAGAGAGCACAGACACTAGACAAGCATGATTAATTTTCCTAATAATGCGGAGATTAGCATAAGAACGGAAGGGACTTATTTTAAGGCTAGGATTCCACTTCTGAAAGAGAGAATTGGGAAGTTAGATTCTCCGATCAGCTAAGGACTTATCTTAAGGCAAGGCAAGCAGTCTTAACTGATGTGTTCCCAACACTTCTTAGTGGCCACTATCTTAGAGAGGAACAAGGTTTGTCCTACAGAACTACCTAGAGGACTGGCTATAGACAAGGACATTCTGTCTCTCACCCAGAGAGAGAATCATGAGATGAGACCACCTGACAAACCTACACCCCCAACCCTTAACCTTTATCCCATTCTTGAAACTCCTTAAAAGCCAGAATCCCAGCTTTGGGCCACGCCTTGTCCTCAGGTTGCCCACACTCCGCTTTCTTGGAGTGTGTATTTTCAGAAGACTTTTTACTGCTCAACTTTCTACCCTTTGTCTCTGTGCTCTTCCAGTGGTGTCTCTGTCACTTTGCTATTCATTCCATTCTGTTTGGCAGACTTTAAGCTTAAGTCTTCACTCTCTGTTCTACTTGAGACAGCAAGTAAACCTGCCTTTATCTACCTTGACTCTAGCCATTCCTCCCTTTGAGTATTTCGAATAAAACTTTCATTCTGCTTCACTACTGTGTCTCTGCCCTTCAATTCTTTGTTGTGGTGAGGACAAGAACCAAGGAGAGCTCATCACCCAAACATAGGAGCTTTTAAATTATCAGGACTCATCTACATAAAGGAAAACAAAGTGTTACTGATCCTTCTAGGAAAAAAAAAAAGGGCTCTTTCCTCTATTTAGATATTCCTAAAATATCTGAAGCAGCATTTTTCCAGATTCTGTTATACCAAGAGTTTAAGTCCTTTAAAAGTAAAACCTAAAAATGTCAATGTATCTAATGGAACTGTATGAAGGCTTTTCAGACTGCTCTCCCAGCTCCCAAACATTTCTGCATCCTCGGCAGTGAGAATACATAAAGTCCAAGCTCTCAAAAGACAGCTGGTGCAGATGGAAAATACATCACAGACAAATGATGCACAGTAGACTACTTAAGTGTCACTTGAGGAACTGGTATCAGTTTAGCAAACAAAGAGAACAAGGATGAGATGATTAGAAATGTCGTTTTTGAGCTGGGAGTGAGCTGCAATCTTGAAGGACCAGTAAGGATTTAACAGGAAGTGAAAAATGACTGGAAAACACAATGTGATGGAAAACACAGAGGTAAGAAAGAATCAACTGAAACAAAAAATGTGAATGATGTGGGTTGGTTTTAAGGGCAAAATATAGAAGACCCTATGTCCCCTTGAAGAAAGGATAAAGAGCTTTTATAAAATTATTCTTTCATATTAAGGTTATATAACAGCATTTTATTTTAGTTCCTTTTGCTTGTTCCATTTCAATTATGTGCCCAACTCCATATCAAAAATTTTCAATAGGATGCTTCTCCAACCAGAAAAAGAAAAACAAACAAAAAAAGACACAAAGGAAAAAGGTTCTTTTCTCATTTATTCTCTCATTTAATTGGACTGATTAATAAACAGGCCTTTTCTTCCAGCTGCAAAAAATGCTGTCCCATGTAGAAATACACTGAAAGGGAAGAATGGAAAGAATTCATTCATCCCACCAGGTGCTAGGTAGGTACCGTTCTGGGCACTGTTCTAGGGGCTGGAGATACAATGATGAATAAGACCAAGTCCTTGTCCTCAAGAACTTAAAACTCCAGGAGGGTATAGGCAGGATATCTGGTCCCAGATGGTGTGACAGAAAGAAAGCAGAGGGATGGGGTGGGTGTTGTTACTTTTTTAGAGAGGTCAAGGAAAGCCTCAAAGATAAGATGACATTGGAGAAGATTTGGAGAAGGTAAGAGGACAAGTTAGTGGCTATCTGTGAGGAAAGCACAAAGAAGAAAGAAGTGGGAATGAAAAAAACCCTGAGGCAGGAACACGCTGTGCCTGTCGGAGAGAAACAGCAAGCAAGAAGGACGTCATAGCCTCAGCCTCGACAAGAGTGGTAAGAGTTCAGGTCAGAAAAGAAGCTGAGCTAAACCATTCTAAGGCCTTAACATTTACCTACCCCCTACCCACTTCAGTCCACTGAAATTTTACAAAACATGAAAAAAAAGAAGCCTGGAATGCTGAGATGAGGTAAACAGAATCAGGGCCCTTCTCTTAGCCAGGATTCCTCAGACTCTGGAACCAGCCCTTCACAGTTAAATCATGGGTTAAGTAGACGAGCAACACAGAGAAAAAAACCAGTAACAGTAATAATAATGAATGCTATACAAATGTCAGTAAAAGCTTTTGAAATCAGGTCCTAATCCACTGACCTCCAGATGAATAGTCAATTCATGGCATAAGCTCTCGTGCTGTACACACTACTCACCCGGAGACTCATATCATACCTGCAGAATGTCAGGTACAGGGCTGTGCATTTTTGCAGGGTTTTTTGTTTGGGGGCTTCTAAAAAAAAATTCACACAACAGTGAGTCTCTGCCATACATCCCCAAAAAAGTGTACCTTCCAGTCATGTAAGAAGAAAACGTACAGCATCATTCTCCTTACCCTTGCCCTTCTTACCAACTGTATCCTTTTCTTTCCCCCCCTTCCTCCACATGCTCCAACATTCCTTCCTTCTTCTCCAGTCATTCTGCAAAAAGGATGGCCCTTATTATCCCAACCTGATACCTGACTTCAGGAACCACACAGATTTGGGTAACAAGGAGTACCTCGCTTACCAGCACCTATGAGGATGAACAAGACACACACAGCCCTGTTCTTACTGAGCTCCCTGGCCATCAGTGAGGAAAGACAGAGCTAAAGTATTAATGGTTCAGTGACTCCCACAAAGAAAGAACAGCTCAGAGTGATAGGAGAGCAGAAAGGGAAGGAAGTAAAAGAATGAAAACCACAGACATCTCAACAGCATGAGGGCCAGTTAAGGTGGTGACAGATATGTCTCCTGTAACTTTCTTTCACAACACTACCCCACTCTCTGACACCCCAGACAGTACAGAGCACTGCTTGGGTATACAGAGCTAAAAAGGTTCCTATTTAAATGTGATTCATTCATATATTTTGTTGCAGTAAAATTTATATGTGGCTATGACATACTGATGTACAAGAAATAAGAGTTTTGTCATTTAGATGTATTTGGTCTTTCAACCAGTTACTGAAAATGCTTGTCATAAAGGTGATTATGTTATTAAAGAAGGTGACTTATTACCACCCCCAAGGGTGGTACAAACACAACCATATGATCTGACGGTGGGAAATTTCAGTCCCACCCACCTCGACCTCTGGGGGAGAGGGGCTGGAGGCTGAATCAGCCAATAGCCAGTGACTTAGCCAATCATGACTGGGTAGCAAAGACTCCATTAAGGACTCAAGAGAACAGCCTTTTGGTCCTTTTCAGAGAGCTTCCACACCTGGGGAATCAGATGCCACTGAACCAGCCCAAGCTCCTGGAGGACAGAAGCTCCTTTGTTCAGGACCTCGCCGTATGTATCTCATCATCTGGCTGTCAATTCACATCCTTTAGTAAGCTGGCAAACCTATGCAGAAGTGTTGCCCTAAGTTCTGCAAGCTGCTCTAACAAATTAATCAAAACTGAGGATGTCGTCCTGGGAACCTTCTGTCTGTGGTGGGGGTAGGAACCAGCCTGAGGCTTGTCACTGGTGTCTGCAGTGAGAGGTGGGGGTGGTATTGTAGGACTGGGCCCTTAGCCTGTGGGATCTGATGCTATCTCCAGAAAAATAGTGTCACAATTAATGGGAGACAGCGGCAGAATTCAGTTAACTTCTTAATACCCTGCTGGTGTCTGAGAACTGGCTGAGATCCAGCAATTACTTGGACTGGGTTTGGAAACTCTAAAGAAGTATGTAGTTCAGGAATCCATACTTCAGCTAGTACAATACTAAAGGAAAATAAGAAATACAAGCTTTTGGCTAGGCAGAGCTGGATTCAAATTCTACCTCCACCACCTGAGTGGGTCTAAACCAAATGATTTCACCTTTCTGAGCAGTTAACTTACATGCAAAACTGAGATGAATAGATGAGTAACATCTAACTTGTTAAACTGTTGTGTGAAAAAAATTTT